GTAACATTAAAAGTAAATACTGTATTTAAATCGTGATCAAATTTTCAAGAAACAAACGTTCGTATCGAATTTGGACTACTACTGATCAACGCTAACAAACTACCTATTGTTTAAAAGGCCCTCTGGTGGCGCAATAAGACGGATTTTATAAAATAAAAAGCAGTTTAAACTACATTTTTATGAATAAAAATTTGACAAACTATTTATCGTTTTATGACGAGTAAAATTTTTTCGTCGCGTTCACGGCTTTTAAGTAATGCATTAACCTTCGAAGCGCGAGGCCCTTCGGACCGCGAGGCATAGGCGGTGGCCCACGTCGTCCATGCCTTACGCCGCCCTTGGTCATAGAAACGATGTGATTTGAATATAAATTATTTATAAATACGTATGTCAAGTTTTTTATTACTACGTAAAATATATTTAAGAGTTTACGGCCACTGTGCCGGGTGAGACGTTGTAGAAACAAAAAAAGTTATGCACTCCATCACGTACATAAACAGTATCGTAATTCGCCAAGTACAAATCAGCAAATTCGTAAAATGTTTGTTTATTTTGAACAATCCGGATAATCGAAAATCCGGATAACAGAGGTCCGGATAATGGAGGTTCTACTGTACGTCGAAAATTTAGGGAGAAAATGAACAATTTTTGTTTTTAGATTATACTGGAATCGGATCTCACACTATTATACGTTTGGAAAGAAATGCTAAAAAATAACATTTAGATATTTATTGAATAATATCTAAATTTGTCAGCTGAGCTTTACATACAACATAAACTATATCGAGTGAGTTCTCTCCCTGTTATAATTTCACTAATCACGCGTTAATTAAACCGCCAATAAGTGTCTTTCTGCCGAGAATGGCATTAAGATTAGGTCACTTCGAGCGCGATTCGCTAACAAAAGGCGAAAAGCCGAGCGAATTTCACGTCATTAGTGACGTAGTTTCCGGCAAATGTCCTTTTAATGAAGTGGTGAAACCTCCCTCTCGACACTACTTTGTTAACCTGGTCTATAATAAAATACAAATTATATTTTTTTATATTCTGATGAAATATTTGTATTTAATTTCCAGGCTGTTATACTTAAGTTTTATAAAGTACTAGATTCGTTTATTTCATCATTTTTTTTCTAAACGACGTTACATCAGCTCTTTGCAACCTTACTATTTTTTATATAATTAGTTAGGAGTACATCTAGCCTCGTGGTCGGCAGACCGCGGCTCAAGAGGCCCCTTGAGTGCGGCTTTGCCAGATATGACCGCGGGATTCATTTATTTGACATTGCTACAAATAAAAGACAAAATCCGTGAATTTAAATTTGAATAGGCCTAGACTTTCGGGTTTATTCAAACTTAAACGGTCTTCCGACATGTCTTATTTATCAGGAAAAATTGGCGCCTAACAAGAAGTCAAATTTGGAGAGACACTTTACAACTAAACACGCGTCAAGTTTTTTGTCTTTACTAAGGGTGCTTGTATTTCGGGGTTTGTGGCGTAGGTGGATAAGACGGTTGTTGATGATCGAGGATTGGTGATGTACAAGAACCCGACGGACCCGGAAATGCAAGCCCACATCAACAAATTAGTAAAATTGTCACGTGGGGATGAGAACCTTCGCAACCTAAAATATTTAGAAATTTAATAAAATAGTAATTTTTCTCGTCGTCGCCGATCCGAATTCAGTCTTTTCTTGTCTGATAGTGTGGATCAACCTTTACGCAGAAACGTTAGAAACAAATTAACCGGCAAGTCGAAAACGTAATGCTTATCACTTTAGTTTATTTACAAATTTCTACATATTGATATATCATTTAGAGACTGATATTAATTAATTGATGACGTTTGGAAATCTGAAATGAATCCCATCGATTCTGCTATCCGAAATCGAAAAAATTTGGATTCTGTAACCTGGCATATCTTTATAGTTATAAGCCTCGTGAAATGTATAAAAACTTTTTTTACAAAGGAATACTATATTTTTAATTATGTTGGGATTGTCACCTGAGGACATTTTAAACTGTTTTGCATATTTGTGCAGAGACATAGCCTCTAAAGATGGGTTGTCTCTGCAATGGAAATAGTTGTTCCTGGTGATTGGACATGGCAAGCGAAATTGGACTCGTATCCAGATGTATTTTACTTTTTATTAAATTGTAACTCTGCTAGCCCTTTTATACAAAAAAATGTATAAAAATGTTTTGTACATCTATATCTATATCTATATATATATATATAAATGGACATGTATGTCCCTATATCTCACTTTTTCGCAAAAACTACACATCGCACGTGAATGGTGTTTGTATGTGGTGGTAGCTCCAAGTCTCCATTCGTGCATAGGTGTTGTTGCGTCTCGATAGCTATAAGGGTGCGGGAGATATGAGGCTAAAAGTAGTTGAAAGTGGCTTTCTATTTCGAATGTTTTGTTCGATTTTGTTCGAATTTGTTCGAATTAAATTCGAACATAAAATTCGAATTGGTTCGATTATAGAACGATTGAAAAAGTTCCAGAAACGTTGAAAATAGTTCGTTTGACTAGACATGAACAGGAGACGTTCAGAAATAGAATCGGGACCAGGTCTCTAATTAGTCTGGAAACGGGGGATCTAATTCTTGCATTTTGTGAAAACGGGTAAGATTGACTATAATGTAATTATCTTAATCTTCACTATCGTTACTTTTTGCTCACAAATAAAAACCCAGCGAAGCGGGTTTTTGCAGCTAGATTCTAGATTACTTAGAAAAACAGTCTTTCATATATAAAGAAAAACTATTACATACAAATAATAACCCAGCGAAGCGGGTCCTTGCAGCTAGTTTTAAATAAATTTCGTACAAAATATGTTTCGAAAGCTGTAGATTTTCTAACAGCTGTTGTAGTAAAGTCAAATTAAATACGGTCGACCCCCCTATAACACTGTTGATAATACCGTTTTATATGAAATTCACGTTGTACGAGTCACTTAGATTTTACAAATACGTGAGCCGTTCACAGTCCGGCACACGTAGCTATTTGTAAAATCTAAGTGACTCGTACAACATGAAATTCATATAAAACGAAATTATGAATAGTGTTATAGAAGGTCGACTGTATATGAAGTGTTCAGTATTTTATTTTATTTTTTATCAGCTTTTACAATATCATTCTGTGTAAAGAGATATTACTTCAAACATATTTTACATTACATCCATAAAAATCTATTGAAATAAAACTCGTGTAAAAACTTGATTAAACAATTAAACATAAACATATTACGCGTATCATAAAGCATTATCTCTAATATAATTGTTATTAATTCTTTTATTTGTTTCTGTCGGTCAACTTTACACTTTTATTAACGATTAGGGCTGAATGAGTTCGAACTTTGACACTTGGATTTAAAATAAACACATTTCTGAAAAATTCTGTCGATCATCGAAATAATTATTGGAACAAATGTAAGTCCGTGAATTCCGGCGATTACACAGGCTAAAACAATCACTTTTATGGCTAACAATGTTTCTTTTTCCGAAACGTTCAACACCGTTACAATGGCAAGAATGGTAGTGACGCTTCCTTGTATGATGGGAATCGCCGTCAAGCTTATTGCATTCTCCAAACGTTTGTCGGGACTACTTTCTTTCGCAGATATGTACGCGCAGGAAACGTGAGCCGCGTAATCGACCGAATATCCAATAACGATAATGAGAACAGACAAGGACATCAGATTAAGTGTGAGATTAAAAAGAAACATGAAACCCATTACCCCCGCTCCTACAGATATTATGTTGAATAATACGCAAATGATGCAAATGACATTTGGTAACAACGCGGCAGATATAATAGAAACGGTGATCGACACAATGCTTAAAGTCTGAATTGCTGTCGTAGGTATGGCGTCGATAGCGTCGAAATAGTAAAACAACGGATGATACACAACAGTNTTCAACACCGTTACAATGGCAAGAATGGTAGTGACGCTTCCTTGTATGATGGGAATCGCCGTCAAGCTTATTGCATTCTCCAAACGTTTGTCGGGACTACTTTCTTTCGCAGATATGTACGCGCAGGAAACGTGAGCCGCGTAATCGACCGAATATCCAATAACGATAATGAGAACAGACAAGGACATCAGATTAAGTGTGAGATTAAAAAGAAACATGAAACCCATTACCCCCGCTCCTACAGATATTATGTTGAATAATACGCAAATGATGCAAATGACATTTGGTAACAACGCGGCAGATATAATAGAAACGGTGATCGACACAATGCTTAAAGTCTGAATTGCTGTCGTAGGTATGGCGTCGATAGCGTCGAAATAGTAAAACAACGGATGATACACAACAGTGGTGAATGGGAAAGAATTCAACTTTTCTTGAAAGTCTTTAAACTGATTGTAGAAATAACTCCCGTTGCTTGTAACGTTCGTTTGAAGAAAGAAACGAGTGGAAATAATTCTGGTGGAGGAAGAATCGAAAACGATGTCTTGTCTGAATCTTTTCGCTTCTGGAATTCGAAGAAATAATTTATGCAGAACGAAAAGAAAATCTTCCGAATTTGTAATGTTATATCCGGTTAGGAACAAGTTAATTCTGTTGTCTTCAAAAAATTTTAAATAACTTCTTAGCCAGGATTCGGTCAATGATCCAGCAATCAGAGGATCCGATTCGAGAGTGTGTAGCATATTTTCAATATTTTGTTGTATTGTGCGATTTGAATAATCGAGTTCCTGCGTGATGAACAGCTGTAACCTGTACTTGTATTGATTGTAATACTTTTCATTTGTTTTGTAATAATTATATCGATAAGTACCTCGAATTAAATTATCTTCTAATTCTCGTCCGTAAGTAAATTTTCTTAACCCCCAAATTGAAATTCCCAAGTAAGTAAAATATGCAAATAAGATGATGATCGCTGAGATCTTGTTTCGCATCAGCTGGTTTAAACTCTTCAAAAGTTTAGTAAATCCAAAAGTTTCATTTTGTTTCTTTGTCATCGGATCTTCTGAACGCACAAAACAGAATATACGTTGAAAAAAGTTTTTATTTTCTGGAATTAAATAAAAAATTAAACGTTTAATTATACAATAGTCACAAGTTTATGTTACCAAACATAGAAAACTTACAACTCAAAGTCAACAACATCAAAGCTCTTCTTGACACAAATAAATATGTTTCGGGACTTAGTATAGACATTCAGAATGCATTCGACAGTGCCTGGTGTTATGGCCTTTTCGTGCTCTCTGAGCTGTAAAGGCCTAAAACCACAAATAAAAAAAAGTGCGTAGTGGCCACTAATTCTTCATTTTGAGAATGAGTATAATAAGGGCTGTATACAGGGCTCGGCCTTTGGCCGCTTCTGTGCTGCACCCTTTTCGATGATTTGTTGACCTAGGATATCGAACAAGACAAAATAATCGCGTATCGGATGATGACTCGTGCTGTTGACAGGTAACTCTAGAGCAGAACTCGAAAGGAAAGGAAAGCAGGATATATCAAAAATAAGCGAATTAAGAGGGAAAAACAAGCTGATCTTCAATCCATGAAAATGACAGGAATAATCTGGAACAAGCCATGCGCTGAAAACTTCTACAAGAGAGTACCGACAATTCGGACGGGGTCAGAAAGTATAAAAATAGAGAAACATTAAATATTTAGGAATTACACTTGAATTTAATCTTCTTTGAACCACACATATTGAGAACATTTGTAAGAAAACAGGATAATCTTTCAGTCTTTCTCTAAGGTCCCTAAAAGCAACTGGGGCTTGACTCTCATGCTATGGACTCAATTTATAACATGATATTTTTCAAATAATTACCTACGCCTGCCCAGTTTGGGAAGAAGCCACTCACAAAATACATAATAAAAGAAAAATATCAGTTCAAAGGAAAGCACTATTTGATTCTTACCACAAATTACAGAACAACTCCTACTAACAGTCTCCAGATAATTGCTAGAAAAGCCCCCATGGATCTCGAAATCAAATGCCACGCATTAAAACGGAAACTGAAACACGATAACAATACCATCGGAGATGAAAGACTTAATAAAGACGATTTCGAATGGAAGATCTTTTACTCACTTATCCGGAACTTAAGTAAAAAACTATTTTTACTCTGAACCATTGACAGATAATCATATAGACGTATACACAGATGGGTCTAAAATTGGCAATAACGTTGGTGGCAATTATGTAATATATCATAAATATACGGAAATTGACAGTAAACTTATCAAATCAGACGATACATACAGTGTTACACAAGCAGAACTGCTGGCAATTGCCACTGCAATGGAAGACTGTATTGCTAAATACCCGCATCATAACATTAACATCTATTCTGACAGCTAAGCAGCTATCCACATAATTCAGAATAATGATACTCACCGATTACGAATAATATTAATACTATGCTACAGAATTCAAATAGTGCCGTCTCCCTTAATTGGCAAGAGGACACCAGAGAAATATTGGCAACGAAAGAGCCGACGAACTAGCAAAGAAGGCAGCCACCAACCAAAAAAACACCATAATATACAGCAAATTACTACCTGTGACAGGATTCAATGCAATAAAAAACTATATTTTAAACGAATGGCAAACTTTTTGGAACAACTTGAATAATGAAACAACATACTCATATTTACCAGACATTAAAAGTATCTACAAGTAGAATTGGCTCGAAATCGATCACAATACAACCTAATTTATAACGAACCATGGCTGCTTTCAAAGCTACTTACGCAAGTTAAAAATTACTTATCGTGAAAAGTGCTCTATTTGTCACAAAACTAATGGGAGCGACTGCTACTTGTTTGTCTGCCCTATAAAAGAAAAAAGGAAGGACTTACAGTAAATTTTAGTCTACAAACATATAGATTCGCCATGTAATAAAAGTCTTCTCCAGCAAGACGAAAAAACCTACAGGTTCCTCTTATAGACTGATATTTCAATGCAATAATATAACTATAATGCACAATTTATACTGAACATTGTCGGTTTTGTGGGAAGCTACCCAGTCCTTAATTATGTTAAGTCCCACGCGTTGCGAGTAGTGACACAGTCCACTGTCGCCCATACCATTTATTTTTTGTTACGCGCATTTAACATCCGTTTTGTACTGTACAATGATGACTGTATGTAGTTTAACACCCAGTTGTACTAAGCAGTACTGGGTATGTACTTTACATTTCACTTGTACCTGATTAAATTAATAAAAAAAAAGCGCTGTAATCGCCTACAACATTTCCGGTCACGTGACACAGAAAAACATGTGAATAAAAGTTAAGCTTCACAGCTCAATGGCCAAGTGGTCAACAAGGTGGCAGCCTACCTCTCTGGGGGACTCGGGATCAAATCCGGACGGGTCGAGAAATCCCCAGAAATTTTTCGGGGATTGGTTTGTTTGGATATGTCGGTTCCCGTTCCTCATCACCTGGTCGCCCCGTTGTGGGACTGGCCGAATCCATAATCGGCCTACTAAAAGAGGCCCTGGTAGTGCCCACAGGGCAAAAAGCGTTTAAAAAAAAAGTAAAAGTTGTCCGGAGAAACATAAAGTAATGAAACGTTTTAGTTGTAACAATTTTGGCCATATTTCTTTTCATTGTCCTTAAAATGCCAAAAAAGAAAAGTTATGAAGTAAAAAAAAATTAATTTAAGTCAAAGCTCGTGAAAGAAGTCAAAATAGAAGAAATGAACTTCACAGCGCTTATAGATTTAGGAGTGATATAAATTTGATGAGAGCCGATGATTACGTAAAGATGGGCGCACCAACATTCACTGAAAATTCAGTAGAATTTCATGGAGTAGGTTCCCTACCTACTAGGGAACCTACTCTACCCTACCTAGGGAACGAGTTCTACACTGGGAAGTTTTTGGACTGTAGTAAGTGTTGACGGTGACCAATTTTCAATTCCCATACTTATAGTTCTTCGTTTATCACTTATTTTTGAGAGCAGACTATCTGAATCAAGTTCATATCAGTTTTAAAAAAGGCTGTGTTGAGAAAATTAGAAAAGCCAAAGGATTCAGAAATAAACATTTCAGACGTATACACTATAGGTGGTGCCTGTGTAGATACGGGTGGTGTTGACAATGATGCAACATATAGAGGAGAGCTTCTAGAGCTAATAAAAAACTACAAAGCAATCAGAGAACAAGAAACAGGACTCAAAATGAGCATTATCTTAAAAAATGAGGTTCCAGTTTGTCAACGTCCAAGACGGTCATCTGCTAGTGAGAAGGTTGAAGTTAATGAGATGGAAGAATGGTTAGTGAGCGCTAAGATTGGCTTTACTTTACTTCTAGACTTATTACACCACCACACGACATCAAGTTAGATTTGGAAAAACACTATTTTATTTTCAGAATGCATTTCGGACATAGTGTCCCTCATCAGCTATTTGCTACAAAAATTAATAGGAGGTTAACAATTTTATAAAAAGGCCGCGATTGACATAAATGAACAAAAATGTGGACTTACATTTGACATGTGGATTCGACGCGTTGAACATTAATTAAAAGATTAAGCATACGATATACAAGATTTCTCGTTAAAAACGGTAATGTTGGTGCAATAACGTAATAATAAACAGAGGTACCGGTAAAACAGTAAAGCCATAAAAATATACATTGTTAACAAATTGATAAGTAAATTCACAGTAACACGAACAGAGTAACAAGACGATTCGAAGTACATTCCAGGGTGACTGTCACCCTCATCCCTATCCGTTTTCACACCTCTCCCCTCCCCCACGCCTCCTCTGGTCAAATATGCGTACCACGATTCATGTAATTTTTGGCCAGAGTTGTTATTCATGATTTTCTCTTTGTTTTTAATTATTTCTAAGTGTTCGTACCATCTTCTTTTATAAGTATTTGGTTCCTTTCTAATTATTTTGACAGTATCCTTTACAATCTGACAGCCTTCTTTATTACAGTGGGCGGCTACAGCCGAGCTATCATTGTTGTGTGCTATGGCAGAGATATGTTCATTGAAACGGACCTTTAATTCCCTACTAGTTTCACCAATGTAAGATTTGGGTGTGGTACAGTTTCACTCAAATTCGTAAACAACGTTTTTTTGGTCCCATATGTTAGCTTTCTTGTTAGGTACGTTTATTTCCTTATGTAAGCTGTTGCGATGTTCGGGTACCAGAATAATATTATACTTAACTAATTTACTTTTGATTCTTTCAAAAATATTCGTAACGTAAGGAATTTTAAGAAATTTATAAGCAGTGTTGTCAATTGGTTGTTTGTGTGCATTAACATATTTTTTATTAAGCCAGTTACTAATCATGCGCTTGCTATAACCGCACTTGCTATAAAATAGTGTTTTTCCAAATCTAACTTGATGTCCTGTGGTGGTGTAATAAGTCTAGAAGTAAAGTAAAGCCAATCTTAGCGCTCACTAACCATTGAGAAGACTAGACAAGAAGCGTATCATAGTATTCAGATGGAAGAATAGTTACACGAAGCGTCTGAGCAACCCACAGATGACGAAGGAATCGAAATCAAAGGATGAAAAGCAGGCTCCAGAAAAATCAAAAGCAATTCTTAAGCAAGAAAATATTCCTGAAAAGACGGATTCCACTGCAAGTTCTCCTCTAGACAGGAGACAGAATCAAGTAGAACTGAAGCTACAAAACAAAGTCAAGTTGAAAAAACAGGAAAAGTCACAGATATCTGAAGTTAGGATAATTAATCCGGAAAGTGTCGCAAACGTAACATGGACTTCGAAATCTACTAGCGTGTACAGGTTTGGCCACGAAGATCAAACAGTCGAAGCTTATTCGGTAAATCCTTTGGCCATGAAACATCAGTTTATCGTCTGAGATAAAGTCAGTGTTACTCGATGTCAAAAAAGCTTAGTTATGCAAGATGGTTACGAAAGGTGGAATCCTAGAATGACCGTATATAATGAAAAAGTAGGAACTGAACACAGTTTGTACAAGATAAAGGCGACATAAGAGTTTGATACGAAAAATGTGATAATCGCTGAACTTTCCATCCTGGTGTTTTAACCAATGTGATGCTGTTTTCTGTGGGTGATATGGTCAGAATCATAGACGAAGATAACGAAGTTTTCAACTGGTCAGTTGAGGACATCGGAGAGGGGACGATGACAACTGTCAGGATGGCGGAATGTGTGGGTTAGACGATTCAAACTCCAAACTATTAACAAAATAAACGAGAGAGACGAAAAAGACCCGTAGAGAGCGGCGAGTAGAGCCAGACGACAGTTGAAAAAAGGCGCGAAACAAGACAGAAGACGTTGAAGACGATTACCAACGCTAGAACATTATCGTCCCATCCAAAGACAAGAAAGTCACAGATGCGAGAATATTATTGTTCTTTCTATTACTATTCCTACATATACAGTATATATTTTAATCTTTTACGAAATGCTGGCAAAGCGTGGCCCATAAACATTTGTACCAGACAACTAGAAGAAACGAAATAAAGAAACTGCAACTAAAACTAACGTTACTGTATATGTTTCCTTTTAAGAGACTGAAAAATTGAGCTATTATTTATAATACCAAAAAACAGCATTCGTATCTAAATGAACAGCCATAGTAGCAGTAAAATCTTTTTAATATAGGCTTATCATTTTATTATTCATAATATAAAACTTATACTACGGATTGCACACATTCTGCCAGAAATGCATATTGCTAATTTTATCAAAATTACTTTACCTGGAAATTTTATAAATACCAAGGAATGCAATTGACGTTCTTCCGCTCTTCCACAGAGAACCAAAATCGCTGCAACAAAGGTGACTTGATAAATGTAGTCGAAGAGCAAACACGTTGACATGAACACGCAAAGTTCCTTATACATCGGGATAGTGGCAATGAATATTCCTACTAAAAACGATGCAACGTTAGTCAGAGAAGTGATTGTGATAGAAACACCCGACTCGGTGAATGTTTCGGCCATTCTATCTTCCACAGATTTCTTCGGGTCGGTTTTCATCCAGGCTGATAACATAACAAATGTATCGTCCATACCAATACCTATAATTGATGTTATTTCTTAATTAGAACTATTTTAAATTCAAATTACAGTGCGTTTAATAAAAATAAGAACACTCAACATTGATTATCGGATAGTGCTTCAGAGAGACGAATTATTGCATTTGATTTGATTTATTCAATTAGAATCCGCAATAATTGTAAGATCGTGCTTCCCGCGAATACCATCTTTGGAAAACTGGCTTTTACATAGGCCTACATGTAAAGCACGAGTAAACTATTCGTAAGACTCCACGTGATCAAACTGTTAGTCAGTCAGGAACTCGCTAATTATTTGGCCCAGTAAATAAAACTAATTAATTAATTAGTTTTATCCCATCGCCCAAGGGGTGCGCAACAAACTAATGTCTATTATTCTTACATACAAAATGACTTACCTAAAATAAGAAACGGAATCATATATGTCACAGGAGATATTCTATAACCCACATAGAGCAGAACGCCGTATCCAGAAATCACACTCATTCCCGTGGCTATCGACGACATGATCCCGGTCCAAGGTTTACTTCGGAGAAAGTCTGGCCATAAACAAGTAACAACGGTAAAAGTAACCATCAAGAATGCAGAACTCGGAACATATTTTAGAGTAGCGAGAAAAACTTGCGCTTTCGATTCATCCCTAGAAAGAAACACATCTTTACTCGTTTTAATATAAGAAAAGTTCAGTCTATTCAAGATGTCTACGAATCGATTTTCCCATATTATTGCTTTTTCTTCCGCCCATTTATTCGAATCGTCTAGAAAATAGAACAATTTAACAGCCTTGGTAGATATTATATATCCTTCTTTGTTCATTTCCACGCCACCCAAAGTTAAAACGTCGTAATTTCTGCTCGTGTCGCCAATTGGATATTTTAATCGAAATGTTCCGTTTTGCAACGCTTTCAGTTTATTGTCTATAAGAAGGATTTTATTTTCGTAACACTTTCCATTATTTCTAGCACAGATGTCTTTGTAGTTCCATCCGTCGTCTTCTCCAACAAAGAAATTTCGAATTTCTCGATCCAAGGTGACAATTTCACGAAAGACGAACTCTCGTAGAATCGAGTTTCCGTCCGTGGCTTCGACAATAACGGTTCCGTAACGAACGACGTGCAATAATCTTGCGGGGTCGAAGTTTGACGCGAGATCTATGGGAAATAATTGCGTCAAATGCGACTTGTGCTTGTCGATAATCCCTCCGGTTGGAATTATGGAGTCGTCGCTTAGATCTTGAGAGAACTTTTGAAATCCTGTGGCTGATAGCAATGTCGTGAAGATAGGCACGACTATGTACCATGACGCGTGTCTTGAGACATTTATTCCGTGTTTACGAAATAGTTTTGAAAGATAGCGATATGCAATTCCAATAAACATATTCGATATCTATAAAAATACATAATAAAATAATTAATTTTTATTATATGAAAGACAATATCGTATTACACGCATATTAATTGTATACGTAAGTTTAGAAATCATAATTTTTATTTTTCATGTTAAATTTAATCTGAAATTCTACGTGATTCTAAATACCGGGTTAGCAATTTCACTTTAGAGAGCTCTGGAGCTCTTCTACTGCTGGAAATAAGACAAAACTTGGACTACAGATAATTGAAATCATGCGCGTGACATTTTTTAATACAAAAATTGTAAAAAAAATTGTCGATAGGTGGCGCTGTAACTTTTGGTTTTCATGAGGTTTCCTGAAAAACAACGTCTACCGTAGAAAATCTGCATCTGTGCCAGATCCCAAAGACAGTGTTTGGCGCCATGTTCTGGATATTCCGGCAGACTCATCGCGTTCGGCTGTGAAAAATATGGTTTTGAGATTAGAGCACATTGTTCAAAATGAAGGAAGACATATTGAGCAGCTTCGGTGCTACATTGATTTCATTATTTGCGCAGAGATAGTCAATATTTCTGTGTTCTAGCGGCATCTAGCAACGAAATTTTGTACTATTTTTTATTTAAGAAATGTCACGCGCGTGATTTCAATTATCTGTAGTCTAAATTTGNAAGAAATTTCGAATTTCTCGATCCAAGGTGACAATTTCACGAAAGACGAACTCTCGTAGAATCGAGTTTCCGTCCGTGGCTTCGACAATAACGGTTCCGTAACGAACGACGTGCAATAATCTTGCGGGGTCGAAGTTTGACGCGAGATCTATGGGAAATAATTGCGTCAAATGCGACTTGTGCTTGTCGATAATCCCTCCGGTTGGAATTATGGAGTCGTCGCTTAGATCTTGAGAGAACTTTTGAAATCCTGTGGCTGATAGCAATGTCGTGAAGATAGGCACGACTATGTACCATGACGTGTGCCTTGAAACATTTATTCCGTGTTTACGAAATAGTTTTGAAAGATAGCGATATGCAATTCCAATAAACATATTCGATATCTATAAAAATACATAATAAAATAATTAATTTTTATTATATGAAAGACAATATCGTATTACACGCATATTAATTGTATACGTAAGTTTAGAAATCATAATTTTTATTTTTCATGTTAAATTTAATCTGAAATTCTACGTGATTCTAAATACCGGGTTAGCAATTTCACTTTAGAGAGCTCTGGAGCTCTTCTACTGCTGGAAATAAGACAAAACTTGGACTACAGATAATTGAAATCATGCGCGTGACATTTTTTAATACAAAAATTGTAAAAAAAATTGTCGATAGGTGGCGCTGTAACTTTTGGTTTTCATGAGGTTTCCTGAAAAACAACGTCTACCGTAGAAAATCTGCATCTGTGCCAGATCCCAAAGACAGTGTTTGGCGCCATGTTCTGGATATTCCGGCAGACTCATCGCGTTCGGCTGTGAAAAATATGGTTTTGAGATTAGAGCACATTGTTCAAAATGAAGGAAGACATATTGAGCAGCTTCGGTGCTACATTGATTTCATTATTTGCGCAGAGATAGTCAATATTTCTGTGTTCTAGCGGCATCTAGCAACGAAATTTTGTACTATTTTTTATTTAAGAAATGCACGCATTTTTTATTTAAGAAATGTTTGATTTCAATTATCTGTAGTCTAAATTTGCCTCAATTCGAGACGAGAGATTACACAAATTAATGAGAAGTTTTCATAAATTTAAGAGAAAGTATTATCGCGGTATCGATATTATTATTTTTTATTTTAGTTATATTGTCTCCTGTGACATTGTAGGTTTACTTTTATATAAATTTTAATACTATGATGTATAAAATGTACAATAGGCTTTCGAATAAAGTAAATTTGAACAATATTAAATTCACTTTTAAATTTAAATTAAAGTACTTGTTATTCGAATTTTCCATTGAATAATTTAATTTGAATTAAAAGTACATGATGGAATTATTTGCCAAGTGTCGATAAATGCACCAAGTCGTGACAAAATTAGAAGAAACAAGAAAAAGAAGACACGGTTTCGACAAATAACTAAAATTTACCAATAATTTAGGTATGGAAGAATGATTTCCTCAAAACAGGTAATAAAATAAAACAAAAAAGTATAAATTTACTCATTAAAAAATAAAAAATACAGTAAAATATTAAATAAATATATTAGGAAAATATTAGAATGGTTAAATTAAAGAATAAAAAGCTTCATAGAAAACATAGAAAATTAACACATACAAAAATACGTAGACTATATAACAAAACATTTTAAACGCATAAAACTGTTAACAAGAAAAAATATAAATGTAATACCGGATTAAAATAATCAAATATAGAAACATTTAAATTATACGAATACAAAAAGCTATAACAGAAGAAGAAAGCGTGGTTTATTCATTTAATTATAGTTATCTAATTAATTTTACACACGTAGTAAAAATAAAGTTAAGAATAAGAATTAAAGAACATATAAGACCAGTTCATAATAATTAAGCTAACACAGTAGCACGTCTCTGCAGTAAGAACGGCTGTGAAATAAAAGAATGAATTAAAATAAATAAGCTAGAAAAAATACGTTTAAATGACAACTTTACGAACATATAAATATTATAAAACGCGCTAAAACCAAAAATAATAACGAAAAAGAAATACATCTGATATGGAAAAATTACATTTACACAGGTCCTCTCAGAAATACAATTTAAACACAAGAGAAGAACACGAGAAAAAAGTACAGACAGCCACAAAAATCAAAGGAATACAGGAAAGAGAAAAGAAAGAAAAAGAAATAAGTAAGAAATTAAAAAATAAATCATTTATAATTTCTTAATTTAAAAAAAGAAAAATTTTAACCTGGCTGTGTTTTAATACATAATTACAATTTAAATTTTATAAATTTTTATATTGTAGTCTATAATTAAAAAAGTGTCGTATTTTTGAAATATAACTTATAAAATACCTGCAGATGAAGGACGAATAGGTCCAAAACAATAGAACTTATTGTATATATACAGATGTAAACAAGTTTATTCTTTTTTGACTCAATCTATTTTATTCACAAATTAAATCAGTAAAAAGTCCTATTAATAGATAATCATCACAATAGACTAATATTAATTAAATAATATTTTAAAATTAATTATTTAAAAATTAAAATTAAGCATGAATTAAGTTTACTTTTTACTTAGGCATTTTATAATAAGAAAATAAAAATAATTGTAAGGAAAGATTCAATGTTCTTTTGAAATAACGAAAGTTCTTCGCCATTTTAGAATAATTTCGTGAACGAATTTTATTTCTACAGTTTATTAAACGATATCCAAGTGAATTGTGACGAAAATCAAGTTTACAAGTTTTAATTGCAAAGTATTATGTCAGACAATAAATAAATTTCTGTCTTCTGCTTAAGCAGATAAAACATTCACAAAATATATTATCTACGAGTATTTTCTCAGATTAAATATTTACAGAAGATAAATATACACTCGTAAAAAGGACAACGTAATATATATAGATACAGATTACAGTATACAATTTATGAATTATTAAGCACTACCAAATTCGTTACAATTACTCTTAATAAAAATAAATAATGTTAGTTACGTAACATAAGTCTCGATTCAGTAGCATAATAATAATTATTTATTTATATTACAGTGTTATTAATTGAAGTACATTAGTAACAAAAAGTATGCATTTAACATAAATAATAATAAAGTAATAAAATAATATCGAAGTTAAAGTCTGTATAATTTTAACTCTTCCAATTTATAAATATGAAAAAGTATTTGCTGTTCAAATTACGATTCACATAAAGTCTAACACGTTAAACACCAGTGTAGTTTAATTATAAAAACATAAAGAAGCTTCTTACACTCCCAGATATACCAGTGTAGTATTTTTCGATTTATATACACTCTATTTAACTGAAATTGACTTAAATTACAGAACAGAAATTAATTTACTTATTTCTAATGATTGAGGTTTTTCAAAACAAAATTACTGTAATTGTTTTAAAACAAAATAGTCAGAATATACTTACGCAGGAAGTAAAGTGTGCCAAGGACAAAGCTATTTTAACGATCAGATATCAGCAATTACCTCTGGACTACCGGTATTAAAAATAGTCTTAATTTATGCATAATTATAAAAACAAATAAATCACTATATTTAGATCCGCTTAATCGTCAAATCAGCAGTAAAACTTTTGCAAATATTAATAATTATTTTACTGAAAAAACCCGTTTTCGAAGTTCGTAACAATTATTCCTTATCAAACGACGATACGAAGTGACATATTGAAAGAGAATAAGTGTTATCTACACGTGTGACGTCAGGTTCAATTAGTCAGAGGTCAACGGGTGCATTCTGGTATAGTCGATTACAGATTCTTCTTTCTCGCATTTTGGAATTTCCTATATGATAAAATACAGTAAGTTGTAGTGTTACACGTTAAACTTTTAACATTTCGTGATAGAAACAAAAGAAAAATTATGCAAAATAAAAAAAAGAAACCGATCTAATATAATTGAGTTTCTCGGTTTTATATTTGGTGGAAACATTAGTGTTTCGTCATAAATCAACGCAATTTTAATACGTAACTTTAATTCAGTTTTTTATTTCTCTCATTCCAGTTTATTGATTTGATTGCTTTCCGGAGACGTTATATTAAAAAATTGTGAAGTAAAAAATATTAAAGAATTTACAAGGTTTTATTCAATATGATTACCTTTTAATAGCGGCGAATCTTCACAGGGACTATTAGGGCTTATGCGCTGGGACTCCTATTGTCCGGGGCCACAAAAATTGAATTATCATAAATTTTTAATACCGTTTCATTAACAATGAGCATTTATAGTATGGTAAATAAGAGTTAATAGATTAGGTTAGGTTCGGTAAAAATGGGGCTTCATTGGACTTCAATAAACCCTAGACCCCGAAAAACCTAGATCCGTCCCTGTCTGTATTGCATACAAGTATTTAATAGGTCAATAGAATGAAATCTTATAAATTATTTAATGAAAATAATTTTGACGGTAAAGAAACTTATAGATACACATAATTACACGTTAATACATAAACAATATCAAAATATGTAAATTATGAATGCGGATACACACTCGAATCTTTTACGGTTGTTTTAGTTATTTTAAATGAATAAACTTTTTATTTTATAACAAACACACTCTGTATATTTTATATTGTTTGATATACCATAATTAGTGCATAATTTCGCCGAAGTCCTTATTCCTTGCACTTAATTAAAAATAGAAGCAAACTTTACCGGTTACCAGGTATACGCAATAGGATGGCAAAGTTTAAAGTTTGTCTGATAACCGGATAAAATAAATAAAATGATTAAAATTATAATCAAATTTATTCTCGTATGAAATGCAACAAACCCATTTTTAAATACAAGAAATGAATTGTTTGTAAATACACAAATAATTGTCGAAAGTTACTTTGGACTGTGCAATTCCTATTTTTAAGCGAATAATTTATAA